AGAACTTCTCCAATACCTTCGCGAAGTGCGACTTACATTTTCTAGAGAACATGAAAATTGGACGCAAGGCTAATGAAGTAAAGTTCTATGGATCGATGATTGCAGAGTCACCTTAAGAGCTCCAGACGGCCGTGAAAGTGTATAGAGAAGGTGCGGAGACGAATTACTACGCAAACAAACAGTTTTCATAAAGAGTTAACTCCATTAGTCTAACGTCCAATTTGCATGTTTTCTAGAAAACGTAAGTCGCACTTCGCGAAGGTATCGGAGAAGTTCTGGTCCTGGAGCTGGTCTTTGAGTATGCAGGTTATGATCCTCCATCCTTCTTCTTATTGTGTGCTCACTGATATTCGCTGGGCTTGCTGTTTGTAAACGCTGGCGTATCTCAAACGTAGTGAGAACCCGATTTCTTGATATTTCAAGCACTATAATCGGGTCATCGCGCGCTGGCATACACCTTAATTCGCCACTTCTTGGTCTTCTTGTGTAAAAGGCGGTCTGGTCATGTCTTTTTAACGTGTATCTTAAGTTTGTACTCCATAAATTGAAAGTTTCAGCCATCTCCCGCTGCATACGCTCTTGACTTCTAAGCAACACTATTTGATCAACTTGAGCTGGAGTAATGGGCATTATTCTCAAATTATGGAAACGCGAATAACCCTAAGATTAATTTCAAAACAAAAAACAAAACGCCAAACCCTTAAAACATTTAATATCGAATTTAAACTTACCCGTACTCTTTACGCTCCAACAACAAAATGCGTTTCTAGAGTCAAAAAAGTTAAACAGGCGCATTTTTTTATGAATCTAGCCTCTTAAATTTATAAAAACAAGCGTTCTGTTAACATGTCACACGAAATTTAGGTATACAACACCTATTTGGCCTTATATCTGGGTGTTTAGGCTTGGGCCAAATTCCGTGCCGCTGAGTGTATAAAGATAAAGTTCTATTGCTTTTAATTTCGGCCTTTATAGCTTTCCTAATTACGGTATGACTGTTTGGTTATTATAAACTGCTGAACCGATTTTGATGAATTTCAGTTAAGATATAGATACAATTGGAAGGATATAAGCTACTTTTCATCGTGTCTTGCCTCTCTTATTGGGATTAAAACATTCACCCTAATTGAGGTAACCTGATTTTGATGTCAGTTAAGTTTTGATAACAATGCTTACCATTTTTTTTAGGGTTCCGTAGCCAAAATGGCAAAAACGGAACCCTTATAGTTTCGTCATGTCCGTCTGTCCGTCTGTCCGTCTGTCCGTCTGTCCGTCTGTCCGTCTGTCCGTCTGTCCGTCTGTCCGTCTGTCCGTCTGTCACAGCCGATTTACTCGGAAACTATAAGTACTACAGTGATGAAATTTGATGGGAATATGTGTTGTATGAACCGCTACAAAATTATGAAACTAAATAGTAAAAAAAAGAATTGGGGGTGGGGCCCCCCATACATGTAACTGAGGGATGAAAATTTTTTTTCGATGTACATACCCGTGTGGGGTATCAATGGAAAGGTCTTTTAAAATGATATAAAGTTTTCTAAAAAACATTTTTCTTAAAGTGAACGGTTTTTGAGATATCAGCTCTCAAAGTCGTAAAAAGTATGTCCCCCCCCCTCTATTTTTATAACTACGGGGTATAAAATTCTAAAAAAAATAGAGGTGATGCATGCTAATTAACTCTTTCAACGATTTTTGGTTTGATCAAAGTATCTCTTATAGTTTTTGAGATAGGTTGATTAAATTGACATAATAAGTTTATTATATTTGCTGCTACGGAACCCTTTGTGCGCGAGCCCGACTCGCACTTGGCCGGTTTTTTTTTTTTTCGACTGGAAAATGCATGTAACTGCATACTCACCAGCCCGGGGGAGCCAATGAGTTATGTGGGGCTCTCCTCGCCTGAAGGGCAAGATGCGTTTACGTTATGTGTGCTCGCTAGCGAGTGCGTCAAAAATCTATGAAGATTTTAGTTCTTAAAAGTAGCCGCTAGGGGCGCTTTATAATCTATCATACATTGATAATGTCATTTTAAACTCATGGGAAGCACTCTGGTAGAAGCTTAAGAATGTTTTCAACAATGTGTGCGACTGTACCTCTAATTTAGAGTAAAATACTCGTTGTTTTGAGGGTCATAACGAGCGGGGTGACCCTTGCCTTTGCTTAATTAAACAGAGGTAAAGAAATGTTTGGCTAAGTAGGCTTAAATTAGAATGTACTATGCATATTATTATGCATCGTTGGTTTCAGTCAAATGACGTCCACTGCTGGACAAAGGCCTTCCCCAAGGATTTCCATAACGACCGGACCTGCGCTGCCCGTATCCAGGTTCTTCCCGTGACCTTCACCAGATCGTCGGTCCACCTATGGAGGGCCTGCCCACATATACATTCTATAGCCTATAATCGACAGGGATAATGTGAACTCTAGGGGTGAAAGAATTTTTCAAATCGGTCCAGTGGTTTCGGAGCCTTTTCAATATAAACATACAAAAATAAAAAATCCTCTTTATTATTAGTAGTGTAGGATACATTCATGGTTTATGTAAGAAAATAAATGATTTAAAAGTTCATTTAAACCCAATCTACAGTTCAAAAACAAAACGAACAGCCCTTTTAACGCCTGAATTCCGCAGATTCGTAAATATTTTCCAACAATAAAAATACATTTTGAGTAAATTCCAACCGTTTCTCGGGTTACAAAAAGAGTACAGCAATTTGAAAGCCAAAAGGCTGTATTTGACCCCTATTGATGGACGTTGAATTATTTATAGGTATGGCGTAGAGTTACGAAGATAGGGCTGGTACGTAGTCTTTAATCTTTTGGCGTTTCACACCACGAATGCTTCGGACCGCAGTGTGAATTGCCCAAGTACTGTGCGATGTACATTGTAGAGTTAAGATGATAAGATTGGTACGTAGTCTATAATCTTTAGACGTTTCACACCACGAATGTTTCGGACTGCGATGTGAATCGCCCAAAAACTGTGAAGTGTAGTTACACTAATTGAGCTGGTACGTTAAGTCTTTAGATTTTAGGCGTTTCACACCACCAGTGGTTCGTACTGCGGTGTGAATTACCCAAGACCTGTGTGGCGTAGAGTTACGAAGATAGGGCTGGTACGTAGAGTCTTTAATCTTTTGCCGTTTCACATCACGAGTGGTTCGGACCGCGGTGTGAATCGCACAAGAACAAGAACTTTGTGATGTAGAGCCACGCTGTTAGCTTTGGTACTTTCATTATTCTTTAGGCGTTTCGCACCACAAGTGCTTGGGACCGCGGTGTGAATCGCTCAAGAGCTGTGCGGTGTAGTTACCCTGATAGGATTGGCACATTGAGCTCTCTTAATCTTTAGGAATTCCGCACCACGTAAGACCGGACCGTGATGTGAATTGCCCAAAAACTGTGCGGTATAAAGTTACGATGGTAGAGTTGGTACATTCTGAGTATTTAGTCGTTAAGCGTTTCGCACCACGAGTGGTTCGGACCGCGGTGTTAATTACCCAAGAACTGTGTGGTGTATAGTCACGATGATAGGTTTGGCACATTCGTCTTTATTCTAGGCGTTTCTCACCACAAGACGTGCTTCGAATCGCAGTCATTTCACACGATTGCTTTGAAGCGGTTTGAATTGTCCAAGATCTGCACGATATCATAGTTACAATGATAGGATTGGCAATGGTTATGGTCTTTACTCTATAGGTGTTTCAAACCACGAATGCTTCGTCGGACCGCAGTGTAAATCGCCCATGAAGTGAGCGGTGTAAATTACAGATAGGGTTGGTATTATGAGACTTTACTCTTTAGGCGTTTCACACCACGATGTTACTCGAACCGCGATAAAAATTGCCCAATAACTAGTATATTAAAGGGATCATTTTTTTGTCAACCCTGTGACAAATCAATAGCGACCCGACAAAGGACTCAATATACGATGTGTGGCTACTTTCCACGTGTTTTCCAATAAAATATAACATTCGTCATGCGAGTATCATAATATCGTGTACGTGGACACGACAAATCAATCAACCTATCAACCCAGTCGATGAAGCACCTGATGTCGTGCCCTGAGTGCCCGAGCATCTGCACTCAGGAGGATTTGATGAGTGCTGCTGACAACGCCACTCTCGTGGCGGAGTTTTGGGCTGACACTGTGTAGGTTTGTTGTCGACACGAAAAGAAGAAGAATCAACCTATTTTTTCAACTATAGGTATAACCACAGGTATAACGCTTAACTCAGTTACCGCCTGAGGTATGGGAGCGGCACGGGAGGGTGTTTTTGAGACGTCACACGTCAGCGAATCTTCAGGCTTCAGTGGGTCTAGACAAAGTGCAAATTATAATCGCAAACCAGTCGAAAAGTGGTCGAAAAGCCCCTTTTTTGTATGGAGTTTTGACGGATTCGATTTTCGATTCGATCAAAAAGTGCGTTTTGTCTAGGGGGGCAGATTTGTATGCTCTGTCACGTCATAATAATTATGTCAATGTCACCCCTCTCATGCCGCTCCCATACCTACCTCAGACACTGATTGAGTTAAACGCAAGACCTATCGCTTATACCAGAGGCTTCCTCGCATTTCTGCAGAAACAGAAAGCCTTTATTTCTTTCTTTTTACTAATTTAAGGGTTTTTTTTTACAAAATCATTACATTACTTTAAATAAGCGACCTCTACATAAATCTTAAATCGTACCCACTTTTAATCATCCAAAGTGACTTTTTTACGTGTTTTAAAGAATACTATAACATCTAACTCAATAAACTCCGTCTCACTCAACAAATTAGAAAATCACGAAAATTCAACATTATCTTCAAACATCGATAATCATTATACAAACATAATCATTATGTATCTTCACGATTCAGTGTCTTCGCCGCCAGTGTTTTACTCTACTGTGCACAAAAAAGTGTAAAAAAAATTAAAAAAGTGTTAAAAAATTACGTAATTTTTTTGTTGAATCTTTTTCGAACTGTCCTTTTTTAAACTCAATGTGTTCTTAGTTTTTTCCCGTTTCTTTTTTGTTTTGGTGACATTTTCTAAACTATGGATTCTCTTTCCATGCTATCTCCATCAAAAATGGTAGGTAGAGGAGGTTGTATATGAAAGAAATAGTGAAATATTTCAAAAAATAGCGAAACGCTTTAAGAATTTGCTTTTAAAAAAGAGTTTTTAATATGTTTTTTGTTTAAAAACGCCACGGATATCGAGTGAGCTTGCTTTGAATAGATTTTAAATCAGCATTTGAAGATTTTTGTAAATAGCACAAAAAATCAAATGCTTCTCAATCGCCACATTAAACTGGAGTGATATTTTTGATTTCACATAAATTAGAAACGAACACGATGATTTAAATCACGGATTTTTCACGATAAAATTATAGAAATAGATATTAGAACATCACTAAAAATAACTAGATTTATAAACAGCACTCCCCATCGCATCATTTTATTTTTTGTTCTCCTTTATCTTGAAATACAGACTGGGAAATAAAATTTTATACATTTTTTACAAATTACAACAACTTACTGCATTTTAAATAAGTTTTGAAACTTGCTTGAAGTTAATTTAATTGTATCAAGTTTTTCAACCATAAAATCCGTTGATTTTTTTATTATCTACTTTTAAACTAATGCACACCGCTAGGTGCTATAATTTAATTGATGCAATTTTATCTTCCAGTCCTGTAGAACCTTGTAAATATCTTGTGCCTATTAGGTTAGTGCCTTAGTTAGACAGAATAAAGTTTATTTTTGCAAATCACGTACCAACGGCACATCAAGACGGAACAAAAGTCGACTTTTTTGCAATCTAAAGTCAACTCTATTTCGTTTCGTAAGTTTTGATGTGCCTTTGTTTGTACCCTAAGCTTTTTAAGTACATATTTTATTAATAGTTAGATTCTTATAAATATTATATTCAAAAATAATATATTTTTCCTTTAAACATATTTTATTATTTCAAAAATCTTTCGAAGTTAGCATTTTAATACAGGGTGTTTTTATACTTAAATAAACGAAAAAGGTTAATTCTACTGCTAAAATAAGAGCAATATCAAATTATAAAAAAAATTACACGTCCCCATACTAAATGCTTATAAAGTATGAATATGCTTTTTCATATTAATTTAAACTTCGAACTTTTATGAAAAGTTGTTGCATTTGAGCAGTAGAATCTTCTTTTTTAATATTGTACTTTGAAAAAACTTCTATTTCGTTATACAGGGTGTTTGGCGCATCGTGTGCCAAAATGATTTGGCGGATAGAATGGGTCATTCCCTATATTTTCAGCCCCCATAACACGTTCCATGCCAGGCGGCTACTTTTAAATTAATTTTTTTAGTAATTTCACCAAAATACCCAAATCGCATCATTTAATTTCGATTAAAAAAAAAACTACTAGGCGCAGCCCTAAAGTAAATATTTTGTTTTGACGTGCATTAATGTAGGGTTGCATCAAATTTAAATTTACTGGCAAATATCATCTAGTTTTTTTAAAATTCAGCTTTGAAGTTTTCAGAAAAGTTAAAAACGGACTGAACATTTAAGTTTACATGGGTATATTTTTTTTTTTAAAAGAGATAGCGATCTTCGGATTTTACCAAAACTTCTCTAGTCTATCCTCATTCAAACGGTATACTAATCTTGTTTAAATAATAACAACAACTTCACAAATTGCTATAAACACAAATTTCGCAAATCAGTCCGAGTAGAGTCAATGCACTAATTTAAGGAATTTGTGAAGTTGTTGTTATTATTTAAACAATATTAGTATACCGTTTGAATGAGGATAGACTAGAGAAGTTTTGATAAAATCCGAAGATCGCTATCTCTTTTAAAAAAAAATATACCCTTGTAAACTTAAATGTTCAGTCCATTTTTAACTTTTCGGAAAACTTCAAAGCTGAATTTTTAAAAAACTAGATGATATTTGGCAATAAATTTAGATTTGATGCAACCCTACATTAATGCACGTCAAAACAAAATATTTACTTTAGGGCTGCGCTTAGTAGTTTTTTTTTTAAATCGAAATTAAATGATGCGATTTGGGTATTTTGGTGAAATTACTAAAAAAATTAATTTCAAAGTAGCCGCCTGGTATGGAACGTGTTATGGGGGCTGAAAATATAGGAAATGACCCATTCTATCCGCCAAATCATTTTGGCACACGATGCGCCAAACACCCTGTATAATTATGTTTATTGTATTTTTTTGTATTCCTAGTAAGTTTTCCCTTTGAAATATAATAAGTTTAAGTACATAATATAAGTATGTATGTATATTATGTAGATAGATGTATCTCGATTCTTCGTGTTGGTGAGTGTATATTTATATACTTTAGCGGCATGATACATAGCGTCACTAAAATATTTTTATACTTCACTGCTTGTAGTATCTTTTTAAATACTTTCCTTGTCAAAGGAAGCTTCGAAAGATTTTTATTAGGGTTGTTTTTTGAAGTTACACACCTGTATTATATTTATTATACTTTGAACAGGGTGTCCAAAAAGTTTGGATGTTAAAATGTACAAACTATGTATAATATTGTTTTTATAAGGGTCTGGTTATCCATGGCTTACTGAGGACATCCTGTATTTTAAAAGATATTTTTATACACAGTGATTTGTGTCGGTCATCCTAAAGTATACCGTATTTTGTAGTTATTTAATCTAAAAATACGTTAGCAGAGGCATTAGGCACAAATGGTCAAGGTTTTAAAATTCTATATAAAATTTTAATTTGGATCACTGCGTACAAGCAACGAGTATGCACAGAATGCGTTCTTAACAGTTTGTGTTAAGGTTCAAAGTTGCGTGTTTACTTCACTCTGCACGGAACACTTTTCTCGTGGAAATTTCCAGAAGTTATAACTTTAAGAAACTTGTTACTTACTTTGCATTGTAAATTTCCGGAACGTGCATCTAGTTAAATGATTGAGCACAATTAAACTTGGATTCAGAACTGTTACGACTTGCTTTTAAAAGAAAATAATTTCCGCAGTGAATATTCTTGCTCCATTTTGATTGGAATTGACAATTAATCACACGTAGAAGTTCTACAAACACATTTTCCAATAATTGCAATTTTTCAATAAATACACTTGATAAATTGCAATTTTTCAAAAATGTCACTAAAAAAACTGCAATTTTGAAAATTATTCCAAAATATTTAAATTTCCGAAAATTCTTCTAAAAGTTGCAATTCTGCGAAAATTATCCCAAAAATTGCAATTTTCGGAAATTAATTCCAAAAAAATGCACTTTCCGGAAATTATATCCCAAAAAATTACAAATTCTGGAAATTTCCCCGAACACCCCACGTATCATGGACGACCACGTGTCTACACCACTTTAAAGTGTTGCACTCTGAACTGACAGATGGCGTTCCTCCAGAACCGGTCCATCTCCCTGGTGGATATGTACATCGACAACTCGGAGCCATCGGAGAACGTCGGCCAGATCCACTTCTCTTTGGAGTACGACTTCCAGAACACCACTTTGATACTGAGAATCATTCAGGTGAGTGAATAAATAAGTTAAGTTCTGGTAACTCACGAACGCGAGTGAGCTTTACTTATGTGTGTACATGTACACATAAAGACAGTGTAATGCCTATCAAAACTTTTGAAAACGAACAGTAGTGAGCCTCCACAAATTTAAAGCTCACTCGCCTACGTGAATTGTAACAACTTTTTTATCCAGAAAAAGGAAACTCTTGGCCTGCACCTCACGATGGAAAGTGATGATCAGGCCGAAGGTGGAAAGGACAAACGTCGTGGTCTGTTAAGAGTAATAATTATTATCTACTATGGGCCTCGTTATAATCATTAATAAACGCCATCCAAGATTTCCACAACGATTGGACCCGTGCTGTCAGCATACAGATGTATCTGGGCGGGACTCTCATCAGATCGTCGATTCATCGAGTAAAGAGGTCTAGATGCGGGTAGAGCTGGATTGGCTGTTATGGAAACCTTTAAGGAGGCCTAAGGTTAAAACGAACGTACCTACGGTTAAATGCTTTCTAGGGTAGGTACCTGCTCCTCGACTAGACCTCCAGAAAAAAACTTAATTTCATTTTATATGCTATATTTTTATATGGAGCATGGCTGATCTGATGATAAAGATTACTCTAATATAGCTCTAAACAGTGGGCGAATAAGGCTTTAAGGTTTTTTACTTTAGACCTTAAGCAACTCCTAAATTCTTAGACAATACCTAATAATAAAGAAGCTTATTCACCTAGAAGACAATGTAGTCTTACAATGAGAAATATAATACTCAGGTTATTTTGTGTATAAATTACTTCGTACGAGTATTACAATGACATTGTTGAGAAAAATTATCTAGGTCGGCCCTTTATTAGGTCAAAGTTACTTCTCTAACAGGTATATTACCAGTTTGCCAAGTAACTATATTATTACATTTCTGGGAATGCGCACCAAAACAATTTCATTTTAGACGTTTCAGCATGTTAAACAATATTGAAAGTAACTGTTTGATTCGAAATATTGCTTTACAAGTATAAATTAAATTTTTAAATCATAATTTATGTTAATTTAATGGAACTACCTATTAAGACCTCGTGAATTAAACCTTATAGAGTACTTTTAAGAATGTATTAGAAAACTTTAATTTTTAGAAATATTTTTCTGCTTTTCCGTCTACTCCATTGCCCATCCAACCTTTCCTGAAAATATGGCAAGTTTTTAAAAATAATATACTTGGTACATGGCTCGTACAAAAAGCATGTATTTGTGGTCTCAGGAAACTTAACTAAACAATGGATTATGTTAATGTAGAATAATAACATAAAGTCACGATGTAGATACTAATATTCAGAATAAATATTGAAATGCACACTTCTCATGTGAATAGACAAAGCAAATATTTTTAAAATAAAAACCATTAATTTTGAATGTTCTCTCCCATATTGCTACCATAATTTGAACCTTATTAACATAATGAATGTTTACAACGTGTTTTGTCAGATAGAAAGTTCAAACAATAACCTAGGTAGGTACTTTATCTTATACCAGGCTCAGGATGCATATTGTGGTCGACTTACATCCCAGAGCGTGCTTTTCCTTAAAATTACCACCTAGTATGCTGGTTTGAATGGGATAGGATACCCGTCGTGATAAAATTTTTTAGAAGATTTTAGACGATAAGTTATGGGCTCATCGCGGAAAATCGATAAAATGGCGCGATAAAAGATTATCGCGGCGCGCATCCTAGGCCTTCTGGCTCGGTCTGCACAATCGTAGTGGCTTTTCAGGGCACTTATACTCGTCCCAAATATAGCTTGCCCTACCACAGCTTCAAGACAGCATAATATGAGTTGATGCTGAGAAGAAGTGGCGGAAGAAACTCGGTCACCTTTGTCAGCCTCTTTTTCAATTCGATACAGTAATTTATAGCGTTCGCAGACTTCATCCTGGTTGGGTGCACTATCGTATCGCGTCGTACGTTGTGAGCTATGAAGGTTAACCAGTCCATTATTCCAGGGCAAGGAGCTCCCAGCCAAAGACTTGAGCGGGACCTCAGATCCTTACGTCAGGGTGACGCTGCTCCCCGACAAAAAGCATCGTCTGGAGACCAAGATCAAGAGGCGAACGCTGAACCCCAGGTGGAATGAGACCTTCTACTTCGAGGGGTTCCCTATTCAGAAGCTGCAGAGTCGGGTATGTTCAGTAAACGCTTATAAGTACCAAAATTTTATTAGATGACAGCCAACTGTTAGAGCCTTTTCCCACGGTAATCCAGTTTTGGGTTTGGTTTTTCCACGAGGTCCTGCATTACTGGATTCAGCAGCAGCAATATCCTATTTTTTGCAGGTAAGGTTTTTTTGTGGTAGAAGTGTTTCCAAAAAACATGTTGACAAACTTGTACCTAGTTGAACTGGATCCTAAGCTGTTTTTTTATTAGTCCAGTAAAGACGGTCGGCGGGGATCGAACTAAAAACTAACGTTCCTCAAATTTCGAATCACTAGCAGCTGATATCTTTGGGAGAAACCTTACCTTAAAAATCAATTAATTCTAAAGGTTATTTCTCTAGGTTTTCGAAAAACCTTACCTTAAAAATGAAAAACTTTATTTTCATGTCGATTAATTAAACTCGTATTTTACAGGTGCTGCACCTCCATGTGTTTGATTACGACCGATTTTCGAGGGACGACTCCATCGGAGAAGTGTTCCTGCCTTTATGTCAGGTAATATTTTATTAACCAACATCAGAGAGCAGAAATAACAGGAGTAGCAGCGCGCGTTTATTTCCATACAAAAAAATTTCGCCATTTCCTGAGGGGGACGAGGTAATGACATTTGTGTAACAGCTGATGGCGCTGAGACACTATCGATATTTTTGTCGATGAGAATCATTGCTCTATGGTTCATAGTCTATGGCTCGTTTAAAAAAATGATATGAATTAATTTATTATCCTATGGGAGATTCAACATTTCGGATCTCTATTTAAAGAAAAATACGCAAAAGTTTGGCATTTCTTCCCTAGCACGAATACGAATTGTGGAAGTTAAGAGTTATATGAAAAAAACTAAAAAGTCATTTATATAGGCTCTTAAAAAGCACTTTTACACGTCCCAGTATTAACCCTACCACCATTACCCTACACTACCCATGAAATAGGTACCTAATATTCTTATATACCAAACATGACCCACGGCCACACTCCCTTGGCAAAGGGGATCGACTATCAGCCTTAGGCCCGGTTTCCACCAAAGCAGAGCGGTACGGAGACGAGAGATGTACGACGAAGCTGGCAGGCTATTTCCACCAAAGCGGAGCGGAGAAGAGCGCAGCGGTGCTGAGACGAGAGGAGATGCGTGAGCTGTGCGTAGCTGTTAGCTGTCAGTCTATTGCTATCTATGAAATACCGCACTGCTCCGCACAACTCCACACCGCTCCGCTCTTCTCCGCACCGCAAGGCAGCGTCAAATTCTATAGAAAATCAAGTGCACCTGATTCTTCTCCTCTTGATTCATTTCCATCGAAGCGGAGGGGAGTGAAGATGTGCAAATAAGGGAATCTGATTGGATTCAAAAAACTTCTCTGCTCCACTCCGCCTTAGTGTAAACCGGGCCTTAGAGGATGAACAGGAGGTGGCATTTTGAGCATTCATGCTCTTTCAATATTCTTTATTACTTTAGCGTATGTGAAGGTACATAGAAGGTTAGTTCAATGTCGAAATTCAACTTTCAAAGATGGTACGGAACTCTGTTTTAATTTTCTTTTGTTCGGTTTATACGTAAAATTATTTACAGGAGAGAAGTAAATCTTTCTAACAATACAATCACCAAGTCGATGTCGATATCGATATTTCATATTGTGCTGTACCACACTAAAATTTCCGCTGGGTGGCCAGCGTATTGAAATAAAAATGTACACACTTTTGACTGACCATAATATGTAAAATAATGAAACAGGCAAATTCCACGAACATAATTAATTGTATTATTACAAACGTTTGGATATAGGATTTATTTACATTAATTAATTAATATATTGGCCAAAGCTGTTATTGGCATTCATACACACTAAACTTCTTTAAGTAAGATTTTCATATAATTACTTTGTATGTAATGTTGTTGGTATGCCTCATTAGATAAATAAATAAATAAATTTTCCAGACTGGCAAAAAAGGAAAGTGAGAAAAACTGAAAAACTTAATTTCAATTTTTATTTACAGAGCAAGAAACTATTAAAAGCCTTGTTTCGAAGGTTAACAAAAATATTCCTACACATTTTTATTATAATAAGTACTTACATTATACACATGACTTGAACAGATAGAGAAAAATGGTGAAAAATACAAATATTATTTATTATTATAGTATATAATAAGATCCAGATATTGCGAGTAGTTGGATCTTTTGGAAATCTGTAAAATAGCGGGAACTTACTTAACACGTTTATTATGTCAGGGTAAATGTGATAAATTGAAAATTATTAATAATCGCCGGTTATTATGAATAATTCCCGACAGTCGAGGTAAAAGTAATAAATGAATTTACATTTATCAGTGATTATTAATAATGTATTAATACTAACAAATATCATAAAAGAGAACACCTATTGGCAGTATCAAATTGTTTGCATAGAATTTCGATTATATTGTTATAAGTACACTATCCTTAAAATATTACACAATTAGGAATTTTTGCTTTCCAGTCATTCCAGTGGCAACACTTCTAGAAATTTAGTTTTTTGCAAATTTAGTGTATTAATTAATGTGAAATAAATAAAATAATATTTACCGATGGAATGTAATGTTGTCCTTTTCAAGATTTGATGTTTCAGATCTCTTCTTACAATTAAAAACACTGCAATTCACCATTTTTATCGCAGCACGTTACTCTTCAATAGTGACATTTGGAATATGTCATTGGTGGCGCTGCAACTAGTTTTTATAAACTGAGTGGACCACTGGTCTACTTACATTGCTAGAGGGGATTGCCTGTCAGTTCCACTCCTGTTATTTCTGCTCTCTGACCAACATAATGAAAGAATAAAACAGTTTCTGTTTTTTATGTAACCTCGGAACTTCTTCACTTCTTTTTTGGAAAATTCATATCCACAGAATAATGAAACTGCTTTGTAGTTTTGAAATTTTTGCAATTGTACAAAAATACCACTCATAAATTGCAATTTCCCGAAAATATTTTTTCCAAAAATGTTTTTGGTAATGCAGGGCACGACATCATGTGCTTCATCGACTAAGGATCACAACCACACTCTTGCTGGAGTGCAAGTTTGAACTATCTGATAATAAAAATGTAACTTGATATTTTTTCTTTTCGAACAGAATTTACATTCATTTCAATACTCGATCGTTTATTGCATTACCACATTATTTACATTTTGGTATTAAAATTGAGGTAGTTATACATTTTGCTGCAATATTTAATTTAGCCAAAGGACTATGGCATTTAATCAATCTTTTTAATTTAAATATCAGTTAAAATACTTAACTGTGGTTCAACCCTAAGCAAACTTCCTAACGACCACTCTGTTTTACAAATGAAGTAGCATCAAATTGCAAACTCTTCGCCAACAAGCAACGTGAAGAATGAGATGTTTTTAAATTAATTTAACAAACCCATTTTTTACTGTCGTTTACATTAAAACTGTGGGCAGTATGCTCTCAGAAAAACTATGATACAAAACTTATTTTTAAGCAGCAGTCCTAGTATACTTACGCCCGTATTCACAAACGATGCTTGCTTAAGTAAAGCAGTAAATAGAACGCACAGCATTGAATAGAGCTCTGTGATTGGTTCGTGTGTCATCCTGTGCGTCCATGCTCACTGTGAGACCTCATAGTAATGTTTGTGAATACGGGCGTTAGATACTTTGCCTGTGTGTTCGCCCATCTACTTAAAGGCCTTTTTATTTCGATCTATAAAAATGTTACTGTTTCATCAAAATCTATTCAGTATTTTGCTCAAGCTTCCGTCCATTCATCCAAAAAACTCTTTAACATATAATAAGTTGGTAAGTAGATTAATTATTAAGGAGTCCTTAAAATATTATAAATTTTATAGTACGGCCTGTAGACAATCTAGATGACTGTAACTGACATGTTTTCTATGGTTTTTGATATTTAAATTATTCAAATCCCTGCTGTACCTATGTAAAAGAGAATAACTAAAGCCCGGTCTGTGAGCACGTAGAATTTTGTCCAATGACCCCAAGCTACCCATCCTTATCGCTGGCGCGTAATTATATAAGTTTACAGGGTAAGAGGTAGGTACTTGACACCATTCTTGTAAAATAAGGTAGGTGTTATAAGTTAGTGGGTACATACTTACTTGACATCATTCTCAAATTAAAACTTATCTCTCTGATTAATTTGGGCATCAAACCCAGGACATAATATAGAAATTCAGATAAAACTTATAATTCCGTGAGATTTCTCACTCCACTTTCGTTAGAAACACTCAGTGGGAGCGCCTACATAAAATTACTTAGCAAAAGTTTTCGCCTGCTACTCTGCCATTTTGTTCCGCGCAGGCTCTAATTTAGACTCTTTAATTACACTTCCTTCTCATTGTTGAGACACCTAGTTGCTTTTAATTTTACTTTTAGTTTTTAGCTGTCAGTTGTGCTAAATTAGTTTCTGGGAGTTACGAGCCTAGAAATTATTAGGAATATCGAAGTGTTTTAAAGAAGTTTTAGGAATTATTGGATAATAGTGTCAACCACCCAATTACATTACATACTACGTGATAATACTTCCTTCTCGTGTATTTGTTTGCAAACTATACTATATAATAATAACGTACTAAAAATAAATACATAATTAAACGTGGATAATGTGGATATCTGTTATTGTCTTTCTTCCATAGTATTAAGAGTTACATTTTTCTATCATAACGAAATAAACGCAACACATGACAAGACAACCCTAACGCGACGGCCGAGCGCAGGCTCGCGAAGCGAAGTACATACATGAGTTTACCTTCTGTTATATTTTGTGCTATTACCTTTTCAAGTTTAGACCACTTGACGGATGTAAATGAAATTCCATATTGAGAGAGATTAGAGAGAATATAGTACCTAATCGTTGTTCTACCATCTCCACAGCCTGACACCTTCTTCTCTCTCCTTCCAGGTGGACCTAAGCGAGAAGCCGTCCTTCTGGAAGGCCCTGAAGCCCCCAGCGAAGGACAAGTGCGGCGAGCTGCTGACCTCGCTCTGCTACCATCCCAGCAACAGTGTGCTGACGCTGACCCTGCTGAAGGCTAGGAACCTGAAGGCCAAGGACATTAACGGGAAGTCTGGTGAGTTGGCAGTACTTTTATGTAGGTAGTAGTAGGTTTACTACTACATATTAGAACTAGATTCTAATTTTATTCTTTGAAGCCTCGAAATCCCGGGACTTTTGGTCGTAGGCTCTTGTATCCCGGAATGTCGAAGTCCCAGGATGTCCCGGGACTTTGGTCGTAGGCTGCTTCGTATCCCGGAATGTCGAAGTCCCGGGACATCCTGGGAATTTGGTCGTAGGCTGTCTCATGTCCCGGAATTTCAAAGTCCCGGAACGTCCCGGGACTTTGGTCATAGGCTGCCTCGTGTCAGGTAATGTCGAAGTCCCGGGATGTCCCGGGACTTTGGTTGTTGAAGCCCCCAGCGAAGGACAAGTGCGGCGAGCTGCTGACCTCGCTCTGCTACCATCCCAGCAACAGTGTGCTGACGCTGACCCTGCTGAAGGCCAGGAACCTGAAGGCCAAGGACATTAACGGGGAATCTGGTGAGAAACAGAAGTCCAAAATTAACCAACTGTTTATGGCCATCATAAAGACCGACGACATCATAAAGATAGCAGGAAGGCGCTGGACGCAGGCCTATGTTCAGCAGTGGACGTCCTATGGCTGAGATGATGATGATGATCGTGATGATAAGGGCATCTCGGTAAATCTTGCCAATTTTCAGTTTTTACTTCAAATTAAGGTTGAAACTAAACCAAAGAACATCAACGAGAAACCTGATAAGTCAGTTTTTTTTCTACAATAGAACATTTAACCAAATGGACGGAGTTCACTGGAGTTGTAAATATTTTACTTCTAAATAGAGGTTGAATTTAAACCTATTGACTAAGGACATAACGGTAAATCTAATGAGTTGGCAGTTTTTATATCACTGAGTTTTTCTCGTGTAGCAAAAAAAAAACTTAATTTTATACTATTCTAAAGCACTCGTAATAACGTTATCTAAAACATAAATTACCTACGACTTTTCATTACCTTATTGAGTCATTATACAATTCTCTCCTCATTACTACTACTTCATTCCCAATTTCACTCTTCTCAGAATTGAGCCATTCAACCAACAATCATTAAAATTATTTAGATATACTAGCTGTGCTCGCGACTTCGTACGCGTGAAAATACTTGGAATAATATTTCCCGTTTTTGCAACATTTCTCTTTACTGCTCCGCCCCTATTGACTCTGGGGTGATGTTATAACAAAGCCTAGTCTTTCTCGATAAATGGGCTATCCAACACAAAAACATTTTTTCAAATCGGACTAGTAGTTCTTGAGATTAACGCGTTCAAGCAAACAAACTTTCAGCTTTATAATATTAGTTAGTACTAGCTTTCCGCCCGCGGCTTCGACGGCGTGGAATTTTTCAGTACCTATGACTTTCAGCAATAATGAGACTTACTATTGGTAAAAGAATTTTTAAAATCGGTTCAGTAGATCCCGAGATTACCCCTTACACACAAACTTAACCTTTTTATAATATTAGTATCTAGATACTTAGATTAGCAATTTAAATACTACTTCTCGGAATCCCTGAATCCTTGAATGCCTTTAACAAGAATGCTATAATTAACTGATCAGTAGACGTTCAATAATTTTGACCTTTGTAAATAACCTCGTAAGGGTCAGGTCTCGACCTTGGGAGATGAGGAGAAGTTACATGGAAAAATATCGACCTTCTTTATTAATTGAACTTTCTGATCCAAACAATTTCATTCAAAATTAAATACAAATTAATTTTTTTATTGATTATGTTTTATCCCCTTAAGGGTGGAGTTTCGTAAAATCCTCTCTTAGTGGATGCCTACGTCAAACAATTTCCTTAATGCCAAATTTCAGCTCGATCCGTCCAGTGGTTTGGGCTGTGCGTTGATAGATGTCAGTCAGTCAATCGGTCACCTTTGAGTTACATAATATATTTAGATTATTTATGGTGTACTTTAAGTTCTCAACCGCAATTATAAAATGCGATCATATTTCCTCCATTCCAGTCCATTCCTTACCCAACCTTCATAAATCAGGGGTGAAGCCCAATTAAAAATGAGTCTCCTTTTGCAGAACCCTCCTGAAATATTACTGCCATCCATGCTAACGGTCTAAAAACGAGAAATTCAGGGTCGGATTTAGGGCAAGCTAGGGGCCCCACATTAGTTAGGGGCCCCACAATAGATAGGGCTCGATTTTACACCAAAGAAATTAAAAATGTTTCATTCAGTGAACATTTGATTGGTTTATTGAAAACTTACTGGCACATTTCAAACAAGGAACTTAATGCCATATTATGGCATCATTTTCTTGCCAAACTGAATATACTTTTAAACTAATATTATCACTAAAGATAACAGATATTATATTTTTTGTCCGATGATGAAATACCTATAGGCTTACAGCATCATCTACTAGTATCGAGTAGGTACTTATTAGTGGCATTGTTTTGAAACGCATGACCCGTAAATTGCGTCTTGTGAGTTTTATATTTTTGAAGTGCCCCTTTTAATCTTCTAACGGGTGAAAAGGGGCCCCGATTGCATTACCTAAGGTCCCTGATAGGGCCCTGGTAAGGATACCCATTTGAAATCATCTTTGGAGTAATTTCAGCGAGTGAAACGCTGACTTTGTATTTTACTTGAGTTTGAACTTTCAAAACTCTTATCGACAGATTTAAGTAGTTTTATTTAACTTTAAACAGGATTATTAAATACTTATTTTGATGATAAGACAGCCTGTAAATCGGTCATAAAGTGCTCTAACTTAAAACTTAAAGCTTAAGTTAGGTTTTACATTTTAAACTATGAATATGCGGCAGTAACGCTGAATAAAATCATATTATTGTATACCACAGAATAATAATATTGTGTAATATATTATCCTTAAAACGACATTAAAATATGTTTAAAATTCATTGTGATTAGTGGATACCGTTTCGGTGACACGTATATTAGTTTTAGGTTTCAGGTACCTACCTACTTAGTTTTGTTTTTCTTATTGTTGTGTTGTGTCACTTAATACCATTTTATTTTTATTTCATTTTAGTACATAACTTTTGTGACTGTCGAAAACATTTGGTTAAATAAATAGAAAACTCTCCTTTCATGCAATTTAGCCTCTACAGATTTTCCTACTTGAATTAAGGTCACTTTACAGCAAGTATGTTAGTAAGATCTACTCATCGTTCGTTTTGTGATCCAAGGATTTAGTGTCTTACATTTTGGGGTAGGAAACTACCTGAAGAAAATTCTGAAAATATTTATATCTACCTACAATTTCCAAACTACCTGCTCCACCCTTCATTCATAACATTCCCGGTAGCATAACCCAAACCATCAAACTTTAAAAAAGTTTAAAATCGATTCCAAAACTTTCGATTGGCTGTCGACCGAACTTCACTTTTGAAGAATCACTTCCTAATGGAAATGTTGCCTTTAGTCTCGCGCGTGCAACTTTGCTGTGAAAATTTTAAAAGGCGTTATGAATATTGTACTGTAGTATGATATTATGTTACTTGAGCAATCAATTTTATTTTATAAAGATACGTTTCGTCTCTTTTGAATCTTATTTTGATGATGGACCTGGAAGGTAGCCAATATCTTCGGGTCTTAGACCATGGTTCTAAACGTGGCCGTACCTAACACTTGAAAATTTCAACTGGTTGATCCAGTGTCTAAGTAGCTCAGATGGAAGAGCAGGCGCAGTCGAAAGGTTGTGGATTTGATTCCAGCCTTAGGCAGTAGGATTTTTTCAAGTTATTTATAACTAGCTTTCCGCCCGCGGCTTCGCCCGTGTGGAATTTTGTCTGCCACAGAAAAACTTTGTCGCGCGCGTCCCTGTTTCAAAAACCGGGATAAAAACTATCCTGTCTTTTCCCGGGACTTAAACTATCTCTACGTCAAATTTCATCACAATCGTTTCAGTAGTTTAGGCGTGAAAGCAAGACAGACAGACATACAGACCGACAGACAGAGTTACTTTCGCATTTATAATATTAGTATAGATACGGTTTTCAAGGTTTTTCTAATTGTTTCCAGATCCCTACGTAAAAGTGTGGCTACAGTTCGGCGACAAACGCATTGAGAAGCGCAAGACGGCCATCTTCAAGTGTACCCTGAACCCGGTGTTCAACGACTCCTTCTCCTTCAACGTACCCTGGGAGAAGATCAGGGAGTGTTCCCTGGACGTCCAGGTCATGGACTTCGACAATATTGGCAGGAACGAGCTGATCGGCCGGATACTCCTAGCTGGTGAGTCGGTGGAGATTTTTTCTAAGATTTTAAACTTTCGCGTTCCGTTTCAACTAAAATAGAGAAGTTACAAAAAAATTCACTTTCCTTCCAAAAAGTACACAAAACATGAATTTACGCCCGTATTCACAAACATTACTATGATGCCTCACAGTGCGCGTGGACGCACAGGGTGACACAAGAACCAATCACAGAGCTCTATTCAACGCTGTGCGTTCCATTTGCGGGTGTTAATGTGCCAAATCAAATTGAAGCAGATATGAAATACGCATTGTGATGAAAACATTAAAAATATTTTATTTGGTTCATGATTAATTAAATTAAATTAATTACATTTTTAATCTCTTTGCTCGGTTTAGAACTGTGAAGACGAATGTTCCCAGCACTTTGCTCATTCGGGAACACTTTTTAATGTATCCTCCCAGAGGCTTTGGTGATTCGGGAACACTTTTTAAAAGTATGCTCCCAGACGCTTATCTGATTCAAGAACACTTTTTGAATGTATGCTCTTCGATGATTCGGGAACACCTTTTTTTCTATTTTCAGGCAAAAACGGCTCCGGCGCCACCGAGACGAAGCACTGGCAGGACATGATAACCAAGCCACGGCAGACCATCGTGCAATGGCACCGCCTGAAGCCAGAGTAATTTATTGTTATAAAAAAGAGAAATTAACAAAAAAAAGTTAATACAAAACGTCATAAGACTGAGCGGTTAAAAGAAAAAATCGAAATGGCAAGGAAAAAAAGAGAATCTCCACTCTGAGTCTACTTTTGGACAATTTTTAATCCACTTAATGTAAGTATTTTAATAAACAAATTATTGGAAAAAGACACTGACTTTTAACCTGAAGTCCTAATTTATTTTTAAAACACTGAAAAAGGGAAAAAAATTTAAGTGGATTAAAAAATTACCATCTTTTGTCCTTCACATTCCATCTATGCGCACATTTCTTTTATAAAATTTTTAGTTACATTACCTACCTACTTTCATTTTTTTATACATTTTTTAACTTTACTTAATTTTGTCCCTCATTATTTATGAATATAATTTCTTCAGTAGGTATTTTTTATTCTTTAGATTGCGCACTTTCAAATTAACTATAAGATTAAATTCATTTAGAATTTGACAAAAATACCGGTTTTCTGATCTCCAAAATACAAATACTTTATTTCTGTCTGTGAACTATTTCTATAATGCTAAAAAATGGATTTAGAGCGACAAAACACCAAATAAGTGATAAAAAATGAACAAAAAGACAACTATTATTTTCTTTTTTTATGTTAAATCTATTTTTTTTATTAACAAATACTGTTCAAAATCTATAAAATTAATTAGTGTTGGTCGCAAGTCGATATTTTCGACATTCGATTCCATTTTGAAGCGTTTTCGTACTAACCGTCTTAAAACTGTAATATTGACGTTTTTTAAAGTTGAATGATCAATGTTAAGAATTTTTAATAAGAAAAAAATTGTTAGAAGTAATGAGATATTGTTAAATTCTAGAAAATATTATACGAGAAAATGTCGAGTTCGCATCGCACAAAACGTGTAGTGTTTTCATTTGTATGTTATCAGCGAATATTTTTTATCGTTTCATTTATTTACATAATATATTGATGTTGCTCAATATATTTTATTTTATGAGTAAAATGAGATTTTATCATACATTTTTAATAATAAATCTGAGAGTTATAGTATCAAACTGCCAAATTCTTATATTAAAAGTGGTGATAGAGAAAAATTCATCAAATTTTGCAAATACATAAAAACGTGTGTCAAAAATACATTTTTACTATTATTTCGGAAGTTATTGTGCTTATAATGTGTAAGGGATACATTCTAAATTGATTGTTAAAATTAACGTAAGGAGTGTGTACATGGCTGGTCAATTTTAGGTGAGAAAAAGGTGATTTACGAATCAAAAAACAATTTTTCAGTAACACGTTCACGTTATCGCGAAAATAAAACGAATATTGAATCAGAAAAAGAAAAAAATCACGCATTAACTGTAACTTTGTGAAACTGTTAGTCAAAAGATTATTTATACAGCAAAGTTACAATTAGTGTTGTTGTAGCATAGAACATTTTTGTTGAGATGATAATAATAAAAATAAATTAGAAATCAGAATGCTTGTTGTTACTACATGTTATAATGCTTACATCCCATATTTGTAGGTCATTCGATGTTATCAAAAAAGTCACCCGAATCCAAAAAATATTGTATACATTTGTAAAAGTTTTATAGTGGAATGTAGAATATTTTATAGATGTAAAGTAGCTTGTTGTATTAGGTGTTAGATTTGATGTTTATATGTTAGTTGCTGGAGGTATCAATCATCAAAATCGATTCAATTTTCAACGATTATTTTCTCGATCAAAGTAACAGAGCTTCGGAAATCGATTTTAGAAATGCCAACAATAAATTACGAGTAACTCTGTAGTATTCTAATAAATAGATTGTAGTTACGTAATCGTTGCCTGTAAATTTGTGGCATCGATACTTTGTTTATGTAAGCCGAGTTTAAAACTGGTCACGCAAAGATACAGGTTTTGAATAGTGATGTGCTGAGTTTGCAAACATCCAGTTAAAATACGTTTTTTTTCATAGAAATTATCTAGGGCTTGAAAATAAAGATCAATCAGTTTTATGGAAATTATTACAATCTGACGTATTTTTAAACTAATTAAGGTTCCATTATTGTGTTCCCAGATCCCGTGCGATTAAAAACTTTTCTTTATACCAAAATGGTCCTATAATCAAAATGGTTGAATGGATAGCATTTTGATGCTGAAACTTATCTACAACTTCCCAGTCTATACCTAGTTAGAGTCGAATTCTGAACTTCTGATTAATTTCTTTGCGGGTCCAATGCTTAACTTTCCCCCGGGACAATCTTGAACTTTACTGGTTGGGTTTTATTAGCGGTCAAGCTGTAGATCCTGGATACATAGAAGTTGCAGCGGTGGGAACGAGAGGTGGGATAGTTCCGTAGCTAGAGTCGAATATGACTTACATGGACTATCGATGTTAGAATTTCAGTCAGTATGTCATAAAAGTATTTATCGCTAAATATGTATATTTTTTACTATAGCATAAATTCCCTAATATATTATCGATAAAAGTGGACTCAGCACATCCCTAAAGACTTGTATAATTCGTAAGCCTACTTTGGATTCACGTCGATATGCAATTCTGTCGTAAAGTGTCGGTGCAACCAATTTCTTCAAAAGGACACAGCAGATTCGGTTTCACTTAACTTAAGGTCTCGCTCAGTTTTGGATTTTTCGCAATATCATCTTATTAAATATACGTATATAAGTCCGCCTATATAAATATTAAGGGGTTGATATTTGCTAACTAGTACCTACCATAGTAAATTAATATCCTTTATGTATAGGTCAATATAAAAAAAATATATCGGTGAATATCTGTTATGGTATGACGTGGCGAATTTTTGAGGCATATTGTGGTAAAACTAAATTAAAAGGAGGAATCCAATGTTACACATAGCTTCCTTGTTTCTGATGTTTAATAGCCCTTATTTGAATATAACTTTTTAACTTGAATATTATTATAATTCCTTAAAAAGTCTATGTTTAGGGACTAGTAAGCTATTTATCGGCCTCTTGGTATTTTTTTTTATCATTACTTTCAAAAAGTAATTATTTATTTCAACATCTGATATACCTACTTACCATAGGTAAATTCTAAAAATATTTTTTATGCGATGAATCTGTATAAACTGGTTTCGGGATTGACTAAACTCACGAATAAAGTGCAATAACCTTATAAATGGACATACTTTCGACGGTTCACTGCAGTTAACACACGCAAGCAAAATTGTTTGTAGTCTGCACCAATAGAACTGACAATTTTGCAACAAAAAAAAAGAAATTGCAATTAGAATAAAAAGATACTCAGAGAGAATTCACTATCCTTAACGTTAGGTACTTCACTTAACAGACAAATAATAATATTTAGTCATGTGACTTGCCATATACAGCTTAACCATGTAATTCGGATTTATTGGATGAACAATTTTATTGGCAGTAAATTGACACGGTCAGTACCGCATGTAATAAATTTTGTATTTTTTTTTTACTTTATTTTTAATTGGATATATTTCATTTTTGGAAAAATCCAAAATTAAGCGTTTGAAAATCAATCTTTTGCTGAAATTGTATGAGTCAGATAAGAAAATGGCTCAAAGCCGTAGAAAACATTGGAAAAATATATATTCATTGTAGTTAATTAAAAAAAGTTAAAAATAACTATATTTTTTACTGTCGTGTTTTGAATGCAATTTTAAAATATTCATGTGTGAATAGGGATGAAACCTCTTGAGATGCTTACTTCATTTATTTTTGCTATGCATTTTAATGTTCATTTAAAAATAAATGTTACGCTGAAGCTTTTAGTCGTAATGTTACATTTATTTTTGCGATTTTAAATCAATCGAGGCATATCCTGGTGTTTTAGGGGAGTTTTAAATAATAAAAAATATTGTAAGTATAAAAGAAAGGTCAACATGAGAGGAATTATCTATAAATGTAAATAAATAGATATATATTACATGCTGTTGTCTTACTCTCGGCTCTGTATATTTTAATGTATAATCTTTTCTGAAACTGTATATTTAATTAATTCTAATTATTCTTCCGAAACACTACCTCTTCTGATTACGTTATTTATGCTAAAGAGTATTTTAACTTTTTAAATAATTTTAATATTTTATAATAGTTACCTACCTATATTGAAAAGTTATTTTAATGAAGAAGATAAGCAGTTTATTTAAAGATATAATAGCATTCCTTTTTCGAAACCATTGTGATGTATAACCCAACATATCAAATCATTTTTGTTTGGAGCGCTCTTAAAAATATATTATATTTTGATGGTGAATTTGTCATAAATAAAAAGATATATTTTTTGCGATACATAAAGTTATTTTGTAACTGAATATACGGGTAGCAAAAGACATAATATTTACTAATACTTCTATTTTTCGCTATATTGATAAGTTCAATTTTTGTTCTTTAGTTGATACTGGCTTTTTCGTTTTAAGAATTTCCAAAGCTGTCCTTTCGATACTATGTTTCATATTTTTCCATATTTTTTTAAATACAATCAATTTACATTAAAATAGCCACACACAACACAGATTGACCTAAGTAAAATAATTTTCATCTTTTGAATCAATACTTGCATAAAATAAATGTAACTTTTTTTAACAAAAAAATGGCCGAAATTGCGTTGTTTTTCACGGATTTTTCGCGCGCTTTTCTCGGCCGCTATTTTGAATTGTTGACAGCTTGTTAGTCGTACGGAAATTCGGTGGCTCTCTTACCTAATTTGCAACCGTTACTACATAATGTTGTTCCATTCGCCTATCACCTATTATTTTTAAACGGAAACGGAATTTTTGATGTTTCTTTTTTAATTAACAAGTACACGACAAAACATCGAAAAGCTTTTGATTTAAAAAAATCACTTTACATTTTTTTCGTAGTTTTTTTTTATTACTTTTTGACGGTTGTCAATTGGGTAACAGATTCGCAGCTCAACATTGTACTCGGTCAGTGTCTATTTGTGCAATATAATAAGTGTAATAAATGTTAAAATTAGGAGAATTGTGATTTTAACAATATAGTTGATTATATTTTATCGGACTAGTTAAAAAGAATAATAATGTTTTAACAATATATGTATGTAATATCATAATTAAGAATATCAGTGTTTAGATAAATATAGTTGGAAAAAATAAAAACTATGTATTTATAGATTGTTAAGTTTAAAAAATGTTTCTTGTAATATTCACGTAAATTCTTATACTGTTTGTTTCTCAACGTTTTAATACAATGAATTGTGTTAAATTAAGTATTTTAGATTTATTTTAATGTGTTTAGGTATTATAGCTGTACGTTTATATTATACCTACACGTATTATAAAGTGTTGATGAACATAATTATTGTATTGCGTATTTATTGAAATTCATAATTCCCGAATAAAATATTGAGTTAATTATTGTTGTTTTTCTAATAATTAATGAGGCATTATGTATCGCCTTCATAACATTCAAGATATTTATTATATCATTAATTTAATATATTTCGATGGGTGCCTGGAATAAAGCCGCAATAGCCATAGCAGCAGTTTTCCGATTAAGTGATTTTAGTAAACTGCGGGTCCCTATACACCTTTTGAATTTTTTTCAGAATTTTATCTTTGAAACTGCCTGATTTACCAAAAGCACTATGGATATTGAATCGTTATTCCCATTCATCATTTAAAATTTGTTGACCGGAATAATCGTGCAATATACAATGTTAAAACTTTTATTTAAATCTTCTACAAGCAAACGGCTATTACTGTATCCTTCAGATCAGCGCCTGAGGCTGCAATACACTATTGCTGTTTGATTAATTGCACACTTTTTACCGGAATAAAACCACAATGGACTCTTACGGAACCGACTTTCAATGTATGAAGCGGCAATATGTATTTATACCTTTTTTAAAGTATATTCTAAGCACTATAACCTTAAGCACATTAAATGTTACTCCAGAAAAAATAACGCATCGTTTGATATACAAACCGTTTTGATACGCCTCTTAGTTTAGAATTATTCAATTTTGTCACTAAATCTCTTCTCCTGTAAAATTGTGTTTTGTCGATTGTGGCTTTATTCCAGGCACCCATCGAGTTCATCTTCATTAATGTAATGAGCTCATTAGAGGCATTAGCAAAAACTAAGAAAAATATTATTTAAATGAATTATAAATGTATTTAGATGTACATAATTATACATCATTTGAAACTGTAGCTATACATGCATATTATTAGATAGTTATTACAGATGGAGGTTGCGAAAATTTTCGAATGGGAAAATTTCGAAAAATAAGGGTGTAAAAAAAACACAGAAATAGAAATTTTATATTTTTTTATTGAATATCTTTTATATTATTTATATATCAATATCACAAACACTATGTTAGGTATTCAAATAAAAAAGCCGATTTCTAAAAAAAGTTCCACAACATAAAATGTCGCAACATGCCCTTCAAATATGGAGGTTTACAATAGGTAAACAATTTTTGTAACAGATCTCTTCCACACAATGAAATTGGATAAAAGGCAGGAAATAGGAAGTGGTAATGGATTCCGTTTATTGTCATCACTAGAAAGTTCATAAATTACTAGAGCGACAGCCATTTTGGCTTTGAGACCAATTTTTCGACCCACAGATTTATATAAAAATATATTTACAAAATACCGCCAAAAGTCCTGTCAACTGTCACTTTGTTGCGTTCGGAAACGCGTTAGGAATTCTGTGGGATGATTTTATTTTTAATTTTTATTTACGCCTTGGGTTTTTCTTCTTCTTTCTTCTCTTCTTCTGGGGGGGGAGTGGGGAGTTCTGGGTACTCTAACTTGGCGCCGTCTTCGCAGGTGAAGATCGGACAGCAGCCAGGGAAGGGAGCGGTCTTGTTGGTCTTTTCTGTAAAGAAAAAAGGATAATTTTAGTAAAAGGTAAAAAATGTCACTTTCTACAGGTAGAGTTTGACTTCCTGTAGCTTTCGAAGGAAATCTTGGGTTCGGTTTCAAAAGTGATGATCAAGCTGAAGATGGAAGTGCTTCAACAGAATCCTCAACCACAGAGGAACTGGCTATCTTTCCTCCAACTACCAACTAAGTATTCTGTTTATGCTATCTGGACAGCTTGGGGAGTGTACCTCTGGTAAATTTGAGGGGACGTGCTTCTATAGCGGAGACTAAACTACCTGATGACTATGATGAAAGGTTTTTCTCCTCCATTCTTTTGGCTGGCGAGCAATGAGACAGAGACACTGAGTTTCCTGAATGAACTACATGCTAGGATCATGGTACAGACCTCTGTGCTACACATGCATCAGGGTGTGCTCCTGCAGTAAAGAATAAATGACCTGATAACGATAATGAAAGACTCTCTATTCTTTCAGTTGCAAATGGCTGGGTTTTTTGCTGAGACCAAGTTACTAACCTGTGCTGTTCTGATAGAGAGGACGTGCTCCAGTAGAGGAGACTAAAAATGACCTGACGGTTTTTCCATCCTTTTCTCTCTCTCTCTCTCTCTCTCTCTCTCTCTCTGTTGTAAAAGGGCAATGAGGTAATACTACATGCTAGGATCATGGTACAGACCTATGTTCTTGCATTTGCTGCAGGGCGTGCTTCTGCAGTAGTCTAAATGACCAGATGATGATGATGCACGGATTTTCCATCCTTATCTCTATCGTCTTTTGTTTGCAATAATACTGGACTACCCAGTGACGGTGCTAAAAGACTCTCCTATATTTTTTGCTTTGAAAAGGGCTTCATCCTAAGGTCAAGTTACCTGTGTCAAGCTTGCACTTGGGGTTGGCCAGCGGCAGGGGTCCGCAGTCTTCCACCAGCTCGAGCAGCCTAGGGGGCGTGTCCTCGCTGACGACGCACGTGCTGCGGCCACAGAACGGAGCCCGGGCCCAGGGCCAGTGGACGACCTTTGTTACTGTTTATACCTACTGAGCAGGCACTTTTTGGCAGAAAGGTGCTGATTCCTAGGTTTGTTTCTTTGACTACAAAGGCGAAGCTCTGGGTCTGCATCTCACCTGATGGAAAGTGATGATCAAGAAGGACCTGGAAGCGAGCTTCGCCTGGAATCCTCAGCCACAGAGGAACTGGCTATCTTACCTTCAACTGCTGAATAACTCTGTTGAAATCTCTGCAGGCTAGCATAGAGGGTGTAGGCCAATCCTCCATTTGTCTCTGGTGACTGAATGACCTGATGACGATGATGCAAGGTTTTTCCATCGTTTTCTTTATCGTCCTTTGTTTGCAATGATACTGGACTTCTTGCTAGGATCATGGTACTAACCTGTGTCAAGCTTGCACTTGGGGTTGGCCAGCGGCAGGGGTCCGCAGTCTTCCACCAGCTCGAGCAGCCTAGGGGGCGTGTCCTCGCTGACGACGCAGGTGCTGCGGCCGCAGAATGGAGCCAGGTCCCAGGTCTGGCTAGGTTCTACGGTGGCGCAGCGGGTGGACGCGAAGCACATTCCGGGGAAGTCTGGAATAGAGGTTTAAGGTTAGCTTTATTTATTTTTAGCAAGTTTTATTCAGATACATTTTTATATTTTTTGCTTGGAAAATGTTGACTGGAAGAAGATGCCATTTATTATTATATTAAGTTCGCATGTTGTGTATTTTGATATTGAATGTATAAATTTTAAAATAAACAATGTTTCAGCATTGAAATCTACTGTAAAAAGATCTACGTTCCACGAAGACGTGCTACGCATTTTGTCTAATTCCATAAAATATGTGAAATATTCAACTACGAGTACATACTGTTTAATATCAACATCTAACCATCTCAAAAACAAGCCTCCAATATTTCGATTTGTGAAGTTCAAATGCTGCGTAAGTTTTTATATAATAATCCTATCATAGTCCTAATGAAACATTTTTTAAGTTACGAGTGTGAGTTTTAAAATACCTAACATCTGAAATTAAAACAAAACAGTTTTTTTCTCCATGGATACAAAATGGTTCAAATTAATTTCGATTCAGTTAATACTAGATTTTAAGTTAATCTTAAAACCAATACAATTCATTTATTTGTCCGAGACAACTTGACACCCACTCTCGAAAGTGAGAGTAGAAACTCCGTTTGTCCAATATTTGTGAAGATTTCTTGGCCACTGTTGTATCATTAAACGTTAAGACCACACAAATTAAGGTTCACACAAGCACTTTATTGTATTGTAATAGAGGCTATTTTCCAATAAAACTATTTACAATACAATGAGTTGCAAAATTAATTTCACGGATTATGTTACCTTGCTATCACTTTAAGTATTTGCGCTAAAATCTTTGCTTGCATTTAAGTATCTTATTACAAAGCTACTTATCTACTATACTGGTAAATTACCAGACTCATTACCAGTGGTAATGTAATTATAAACTGAAAATATAATAAAATTATATCATCAAAAATAAATAATATGGATCAGAAAATAAATTGTTAAAAAAGTTATTTATTTTTTACAATTAAGATTTTTAAAAAACACTTAGTTTTAATTACTTTTAAAGCAACTTAGAAGTAAGTATCTATGAAAACCCAGACACAAATTTACCCGACTGCGCCAGAAGGAGGGTTTGTTTTTGAGCGTATTTTATTTACCGGATTTCATTTCAATGCGAATTATTGCCTGCAAGAATCTTATAAAAACTAACGTAAAAACTTTCAGCAATCTAATTAATCATTTTATTTAGAAAATCGTCACAAAAAATCACAGTCATCTTCCAATAGAGAAAGGTGATCGATTTGGTCTAACTACTAAAAATATACCATTTAATTCATTCAAGAAAGCGTTTAGCAATAATGTTTTGGCAAAAAACGCTACAATCATTCGAAATTTCACGCTCATTGTCATTTTATTATAGCTTTCAATAACACTTTCACGATTTTATTGTAACTATATTCTTGTGCTTTAACGGTATATAAACTAACGCCCGTATTCACAAACGATACTTGCTTAAGTGAAGCAGCAAATCGAGCGCACAGCGTTGAATAGAGCTCTGTGATTGGTTCATGTGTCACCATGTACGTCCACGCGCACTGTGAGACCTCATAGTAATGTTTGTGAATACGGGCGTAAGTAGGTAGGTATTCCAGTTAGTAAAAAAGTCTTTGATACTCCAGTAGCGGAAGAATTGAGTGTATATTAGCTATCTTTTGTGTCATAGTTTTTTTATTTAAACCCAAGATTTACAATATCCAAAAAAGATATCACAAAAATACATTGCTTAGAATATCTAAATTGTAATTCAGATCAGAATTCCTATGTGTTATTAGAAAATAATCAAAAAATATTCGGCTATAAATTATCGGAGCACAAAGCTTAATAATAGCCTAATAAAGTCCCTCCAACAATAATGATCGTATTTCGTAAATTGCTGCACAAAGAACGTGTGAACACAAAAAAGTCATCCATATAATTGTACAATGCTAGTCCTTTCAAGCCGAACTGGCTCAAGGTCGGACGAATCCAGGCTTAGAGCATTGTGTAGTCTGAAAGGCGTATTGTTCTTTAACGCCAACTTATGTTGCAACAATACGTCCGCTTAATGTACACGCAACAAAAACATTTGAATCTGAAAGAAGTCTGTTGCTAAGTCTAGACTGGATTAGATGGGGGCACGGTAGTGCAGGCCAAGACGAGGCAAGCGAAGCTCAAGGGCATTACCGACATTATTTTAAAAGCTTTTTTAAAAGTCGTTTTTGAACTCTCATTACTTGGTGTTGCACTATAGCCAATGGCCAATATTTTGACTATTGAAAGATAAAGATATTGATAAGATAATATAGCATTTATTTCCTAGATTATGGTAACAATAATTTGATCGATGTACAGTTTGCGAAGAAAGGCTTGCTTCGCTTTTAGAGTTAGTTTGATGTAGATTGTAGAGTCACAGGCTAGATTCTATATGAGATCTGTTCGCTTAGTGCGAGTTTAACATCAAACGTCTACTAGTGACTGCGTAAAAATACATTAAATGTATGACGATGTACAGCGCCCCTAGAGGAAACTTTCATACATTTTTTTGACGCGTCTGCTATTGACGACGTCTTTGATGTAAACTCACACTAAGCCCTCTGATAATTTAGTGCGATCCATAATGGTCTCATCTTGGCATCGTTTTACACGTTTTTTTCTGGTGGGATCATTTAGTTCAGGAAAGATCACGGATGTCAAGTCAATTTATCACAGCTATTGAAGTTCATGGCTTGTCAGCGTAATTTACCACAGTCTTAAAATAGGTATTATTAGGTATGTAGCTCTTACATTAGTTCTAATACATTTTAGATAATTTTGTACCTTTTATTCTCTACTAGACTTCGTACGCGTGAAAATAGTTTAGATATTTCCCGTTTTTCCAACATTTTTCTTTACTGCTCCGCCCCTATTGGCTGTAGGGTGATGTTGTACAGCCTAAAGCTTTCCTCGAAAAGTGATGGTATTGAAAATATTTTTCGATATTATTGAAACTTTTCCTTTGATTACGGAGACATTTAAAGTGATGGTAAGTTTTTAAAGTATAACTTTAAAAAAAAATAAAACCGACTTCAAATGCGTGAACACAAAAAAAAAACTAAAAATTAAAAATATTGCGTATAAAAAAGTTCATCCCCAATTTTCTACCCTTGGGGGTGAAATATTTTCTTCAAATTCGCATGAAACCACCCTTTTGATAATACCTATTCAACAAAAAAATAATCGTTCAAATTGATTTATAATCGGCGGAGATATTGCGTATAAAAAAGTTCATCCCCAATTTTCCACCCTTGGGGGTTGTTTTTTCTATCATTAAATTTAAATGGGACCACCCTTGAGGTATTACCTATACGCCGAAAAAAGATTTGTTCAAATCGGTTCATAATTGGCGGAGTTATCGCGTAACAAACATAGAAAAAAAAAAACATACGGGTCGAATTGAGAACCTCCTCCTTTTTTGAAGTCGGTTGATAAATGGGCTATCTAACACAAAAATATTAATTTGTTCAAATCGGGCCAGAGTTTGACCTAAGACTTAAATAAACATGATTTATTTAGTTTAGATGTTCCATTGTTTCTGTCTTAAAGAGAGTCATGTTGAAATAATAGGTAGGTAACTAATTAAATAAATAGTTAATTCTTCAATAACGGCTAGTAAGTAAAGTAGTACTTACTATAATGTAGTGTAATGGAACTTAGTTTCTGCTTATTATGTTTACCTTATTTTTAATGACCTTACCCTTGTAAAATTAACCTTAAAATGAATAGATAATTACATTTTCAATTAGATTTTTCCAATTTATCACGTACAGATTACATTGTTAAAAACCTAATTAAAACAGTCTTTCTTAATTAATTATAACAATAACCTTGTTTACATATTCAGAGGTTGTAGGTAGGTATTTTTTGTCATAAAAATCTGAATCATTTAAGTCCAATTCTGAAGTTTGTGTAATCTACAATTTATAAAAGCGAAATGTCACTGACTCACTCACTCATCACGAAATCTCAGAAACTACAAGTGCTAGGCGTCTCAAATTTTACATGGGGGTTTCTTTTAGAACGTAGGTGCTTACTAAGACGGGATTTTGCAAAATTCAACCCCTAAGCGGGTAAAACGGCATCCACGCGTACGAAACGAAGTCGCGGGCCCCCCCTATTAATTTGATGTATAAAATATAGTTTTCTGTTTTGTATTCCTGTTGTACTTTGTAACAATCGTAACTACATAATAAGTGCCACGAATATTCCGTTCGGTAATAGGAAATTTTTGCTTGTAAACATATTTTTGTAGCATGTGACACACGCAATTTAGATCAATTACGAAAAGTTTAGGATCTCCAGTTGCATCCTTATTTCGCGATGTTTCTATTTGTGCATCATAACTGGGTTAATCAGAAGGAAGATGAGTAACGTTTCTATTCAAAAATAAAGTCATTATAGTTTCCACTGGAGAAGGACAAACTTCTATAATTTTACCAAAAGAAAAAGTAATGATTTCGTCTAAACTCCCCACCCTGATCAGGTGGATTGGGTTGGGTCCCTTGTGTCCGTTTACACCATCAATCCCTAATTTTTAAGTGACCCCTATGGTAACACATATCAGGGATTTTGTTTTTAAAGGAGTCACTTAAAATTAGGGACTGATGGTGAAAACGACCATTAGTCGTTTTTTACGACCATGGGAAGAATGGCCATGGAAACGAGATGTATAGTCTCGAAAGATCGTGTTATTGTACCTTAATTTAGCTTTAGCATTTCATTCTTTCATTCTTCAACGAGCAACGAAAAATCTAATATTTTTTGTACCGGAAAAAAGCTAATAGAAATTCATTAGGTACCGTTCGTTCGTTAAATTTTTCATCGATATAATTACAACACTGTTTAGAATGTAATAATGATTTCTTGTTACCACCCGAACGCTTGTTTTTGCAACTGTTACATTCTTCCTTGTCAAATAAGTTGAATTGTTGTTTACTAATGCGATTTTTTTATGTTTACTTGTTTT